CGACAGAAAAGGAGAAGGAACAAGATACGGGAACCTCGGAACTGTGTTTGATTCCCTTGGCGAATATCAGAATGCTAAAGAATATCACGAGAAAGCACTTGCCATCGCGATAGAAATTGGCGACAGAGAAGGAGAAGGAACAACATACGGGAGCCTCGGAAGCGTGTTTGATTCCCTTGGCGAATATCAGAATGCTAAAGAATATCACGAGAAAGCACTTGCCATCGCGATAGAAATTGGCGACAGAAAAGGAGAAGGAACAGCACATTTAAAACTTGGAGTGGTGTACCGCAGTCTTAATAAAAATTGGCAAGCTAAAGAACATTTGGACAAAGCAGTCGGCGTCAGTATTGCAATTGGTGACAGAGAACTGGAAGCAATGGCTATTGTAAATTTGGCAAGTGTCTCTGATTCTGTAAATGACAGTCAGAAGGCAAAAGAACTTTGTGAGAAGGCGCTTACAATCAGCAGAGAATGTGGCAATAGAGAGTGCGAAGTACAACTATACCTACACATTGGAAGTCTGTCCCAATCGTTTGGTGAATATGATAAGGCAGCATATTATTTACAGAAAGCTTGTTCCATAAGCAGCGAAATTGGACACAAAATGACTGAGTTTCAAAGTCTTCTCCTTATTTCAGTGTTAAAGATATCGCAGTTCGAGGTTGTGGAGGCAATGGAATATCTTCTCCAAGGCATTGAAAAATATGAACAAATCAGAACTCTCCAGAAAGGAAACAGTGGATTTGAAATTTCTCTGTTGGAAGAACACGGCACTTTTCCCTACAAGTTACTCACTCACCTCCTTTGCCGTAATGGAAACTTTCGAAATGCTCTGTATGTTGAGGAGCTGGGACGAGCAAGAGTCCTCGCAGAACTCATGGCAGACAAGTACTCCGCTGAAAGCCACATCTCAGCTGATCCACGATCATGGTTCGGGATTGAAAACATCGCGAGAAGAGAAAGTAACTGTGTTTTTTTGTACATTTCGTATGAAGATCGGCAAGTTCTTCTCTGGGTGTTGAAAGCAAATGGAGACATTTTCTTTCGAAGAACAGACGAAGTGAAAATAGACACTCTTATTGCTGCGCAAGTTTGCGAAGTGGAGGGAGTTTTCAAAAAGAGCGCCGAATGCTTTGGTGTTTTACCCGAAGGGAACTGCGAAGACCGATCGCTGAATGACAACGTGACGACATCTCTTCATGAAGAGAGCCAAGCAAATTTGCGAGGTGACGAAACCAAAGATACCGGAAGAAGTCATCATTTGTGCTACGAATGGATCGTCGCACCTGTGGTAGATTTACTCACAGAGCCTGAAATCATCATTGTACCGGATCGTTTTTTGTACCGAGTCCCATTTGCTGCCTTGCGTGATGAACAAGCCGGCAAGTATTTATCGGAGAAGTACAGAATACGCATCGTCCCTTCACTGACAACTATCCGGCTCATTCAACAATGTCCAGCAGACTATCACAGTCAAACTGGCGGACTGGTTGTGGGTGATCCTACGGTTGGCAAAGTGCAATATAATGGACGTCTTATTGACATTACACCATTGTTTTATGCAAGTAAGGAAGCAGAGATGGTTGGTCAACTGCTGGGTGTTCAGCCTATATTGGGAAGTCGCGCAACAAAGCAGGCGGTTCTTCAAGCAATACCTTCAGTGAGTCTGATACATCTTGCCGCACATGGAAATCCCGAAAGAGGAGAGATTGCCCTCTCTCCTCAATGTACTATTAACAGTACTCCACAAGAGGAAGACTACCTCCTGACAATGTCCGACATTGAAGGAGTTCAAGTGCGAGCTAAACTGGTAGTACTCAGCTGTTGTCACAGTGGGCGTGGATTGATTAAAAAAGAAGGAGTTATTGGAATCGCTCGAGCATTCCTAGCATCTGGTGCACGTTCAGTGTTGGTAGCATCGTGGGCTATAGAAGACAAAGCAACGGCGAAGCTCATGAAACATTTCTATAAACACCTTGTGCGTGGAGAAAGTGCCAGTGAATCTCTTCACCAGGCCGTTCAATGGTTGAGAAGTAATGGATTTTCCAAACCTTCCCAATGGGCTCCGTTTGTGTTGATGGGGGATAACGTGACATTTGATTTTATGAAAAAAGGGTAAGTCTGATTAGAATGAGCAATTTTCTACGATAAACCGATTAGCACACTTAACTTATTCACTTCACTCAGTTGTCGTAATTTTTTTTTTTTTTTTGTCTTTGTCTTTCATCCATAAAATGCCAGGAAAAAGAACTTGATTTTATCTAGCGCTCGGAGCCAGAATTTTTTCACAGAAGGCTTTCTAAAATTGGCTTTGAATTTGCGTTTCTTTTGTATGCAATATATACTCCGAAATAATTAGTCAAAGTCGATGCGATACTACACGTTATGACGATGAAGGTAACTTGAGAAGCTGAAAAGTTAACTTTATTTGTGAAAAATCAACAAAAATAACAATAAATTGACAATCTTAAAGTCACTTTCGTATCAAGCATGGTATGTTCGACAAGTTTGGACAATCATAGCCAATGGAATTGAAGAAGAAAGTAATTTCTTTGATTGGAGATCTGTTCCGTTTACTTTAAAGCTGAAATAGTGACAAATTTATAATGTTTTTTTTCAGGAAAGAAGGACTCGAGGAGGACAACAACGAGGCGGAGAAGAAACAGAGTGACTACTGATCCTACACAAAGATTCTTCTTCCTAAACATTGTCGTTCAATGGACACTGGTATTACTTTGCGAAGACATTTTTAATTTTTTTTCAGTCAAGTAGTAGATTTTGCGTGCTTTTGTGATGATGGTGATAATGAAACCTGCAACTAAGTCGTTTGATCTATTAAGTATACTATCAATAGGGATCTACAATAAATTGGGATGGGAAAACTGAACGCAGGAAATTAGCTTAATGTATGAAAATGTGAGAATGTGGCAAAGTTTCGTCAGAACTCAAAGTTAATCCTTGATTTAAATCATTATAATTCTGTTTTCAATTCTCCCGCTGCACGCGCACGTGATTATTAAAGAGTGATTAAGACTTTTCACAGGTGCAGGAAATGATAACATAACAAACTAATAGAAAATGGAACAAAAAGATCCGAGATACTGAAGAAACAATCAAATAGAAAAGAGGAGGTAGTAATGTAAAAATCAGACAGAGAAGAGAAAAATGGTTGAGAATTACCGCAAAAATCAAACATTGTTGGCAACAGGGCGCTACATATTAATCTAAAAGTTAAATGGAGAAGAGAACACACAGAGTGCAATATACTAAAAGAAAAGTATTAACAAATAGAGAAGAAGAGAAACGGTGAGCGAATTATTGAGATAAAATTAGGAGAAAACATTGCGCGAGATACTAACGCCAAACAGAAGGGTGCAAACAGTTCGTAGGATATGAACGTGACAATCAGCCAGAATAAACCCTTTAACTCCCAAGATCTCATTAGTAATTCTCCCTTTTGTCTGCCATAAAATACTCATGATTTCAATTTGGAGAATTTGGTATTGGATCAACTTGTAGTTCTCTAATTGAGTTTTCTTTATTCTCCTCACTTGTCTGCTTGATTCTGTGTTGATATTGTAAGGAGAAATTCTGTCTTGGTCACTCATGGGAGTTAAAGGGTTAAGGAAAAGAACAGAGGGCTAGATTCAAATATGGGAAACAAATTTAAGTTGAAACAAACAATAAGGTAGATATTAACTTGGAAATCAAACAGAGACGAGAAAAGCATTGTGCAAGATTAGAATGAAATATTTAATCGGAGGAGAGAACGAGCTATGCACAAGATTCAACTAAACAAAAATACCAAACATAGCAGAGAAAAAAAAACAGTGCTCAATATAATCGCAACAAACAAAGTTAAAAGAAGAAACAGTGGACTGGACAAACAGTAAAATCATAGGCATGCAATGCATGCAAGAGTTATTTTTTTGGCTGGGTGAGTTGAGGTGGGACACTGTGTAACTGATGTTTTCATTTTTGTAAAAGAAAAAGAGCCTTAAGCTCAAAAAGAACGAAAATAACGCATTAGTTTAGTTAAAAGACAGGGAAAAAGTTCTTACTTTTCTGAAATAAATTCACACGTAGTTATTTCGTGGTCCATTGTCTATGTGGTCTGAGTTATTAGAAACAAAAATAAACTGACTTTACCTTAAGAGAGAGGGGGAGAGAGGGGGGAAGAGGGGAGAGAGAGGGGAGAGAGAGAGAGAGAGAGGGAGAGAGAGAGGGAGAGAGAGAGGGAGAGAGAGAAAATTTATTTTTATTAACCACTTTTTTCGGTCCATACAACTTGATTATGGGGGAACTTTTTAGTTCCTCTATTTTGCCCCAACTTCAAGATCGTGGCTCATTACTGTTCCTAATAATATACATGAAAAAATTACTCAGTTCTGATTGGTTAAGATAAACGCAGTTTTCAGGTAATTCAATGTAGAGGAGGGTTAATTCAGTGCAAAGAAGTAACAGAACAGAATTCCGATTGGTCAACAATCAAAGAAACTCACAGATAGCCAATCAAATGTTAGCTTAGGATGTCGCAACATTTGGATACGCTGAAAATTTGCGAGCGAAACAATGGCTCGCGTTTCAAGTAGGTTTTCTTTCGCCACCGCTACAACAATATAGCAGCTGAAACACAGCTCTAACAACGAAAACACTGTAAAAAGCACTACTCTTTGGTTATCGGTTTGGAAAAAGTGGTGCTTAGAGAACGGAATTGCCGAGGAAATTGAAAATTTCGAGCAGACTTAACATGATTAAACACCGCAAACGACGATTCCATTTCATCGCAAGTGATTCGGACACAAACTGAACAAGTTCTTGAACTGTTTAGCCGAACTTTGAACTTTTTGTGCCCTAAAGATGTGAAAATATCATTGTATATTATTGTTTTGAGAACATAAATTGTTTTACTATCATTTACACTTTTGGAGAGTATTGAGAAAATAAAACCCGAAAAAATAGGAAAAAAATTCAGAAGGAAGGAGAGGGGATTCCGGATGGAATGGGCCAGTAGCATTCTGGTCATCCCCGCCCCCTCCTCTGCACCGTACAAACATGGCTGGTCAGAAGGCTTCACTGCAGGCAAAGAATGGCAAAGCGCTACAAGACATTGCAAGAAGAGGCTATACGTGGGAAAGCCCATGAAAGAAGAACTGGGGTATGCAAGCTTACACAGTTCACTGCGCAGATGAATCAATCCAGGGGCATTCAGGTGAGATTCGTTGAATAATCTGGAGGCCCAAGTCACCGGAATAGACCGAAGTTAGGACGATAGAATATGGAATTGTTTGTGACATGCTTGCTAAATTTAGCTGGTTTGAGACCCCGACAAAGAGGACTACTTACCGACAAAGAGGACTACTTACCCTTTGTGATTGGTCGATGTCTTGGGACACCAAAATTTAAAGGTGAAAGAGACGACTAATTCCTTTTAGATTAAAGCTTCCATTTCTTTCAAACGTTTTTAAACTTTTATTTCGATAGATTGATGGAAGCTAGTGAGTTAGAATGCTGTTTGACAGTGGAAAACCTCAATTCCAATGGTGTGGTCACGAAACGGCAAACTTTCAAGAGTATTACAGTTGTCTCGGGTCGAGATGAATTTGGCGACATCGTCAGTAGTCAATCTCCGTTGGGAAAGACTTTTCTCCTGAAGGAATTAACCATTCACAAACGGTTTTTACAGGAAGGGAAGGCTACCATCAAACCTCTAACACAGAAGATTCTAATAATGTTTCGAAATTGTCCACCGAATCAGCTCGCGACGTTTTTAAAATGTCTGTCATTAAAACTTGCTCAAAGTAAACAAAATGGAATTGCAAGTAACAGAAGACGGCTTCTCAGTGATAAAGCGCGGTCGTTTGAAAACATAAGCCCTCTTACAGATAAGGATTTCACAGTGGGCTGCAAGAAAAGACCTCTGGAAGATAAGAACGGTGTGACACCGAAGCTATTTAAAACTACAGGTAAAGAAAGCGATTCGAATTGTGGAGACGACGAACACAGTGGACCGGCAAGAAGACGTCTCAGCTCTTTGAGTTCTTTTCAAATGAATCTTATACCTGAACAAATGGCAGTGATAAACGCCATAAGAGCTGGAAAGAGTGTGTTTTTTACTGGTAGTGCAAGAACTGGCAAGTCATATCTCTTGAAACGTTTGATAACAATGTTACCACCTCAGAGTATCTTTATAACTGCAAGTACAGGAGCAGCAGCTTGTCACATTGGTGGAACTACGCTTCATGTGTATGTGCGTGCGTGCGTGTGTGTGTGTGGTATGCGAGTTACGTGTTGCAAGTATCGAGTCGACTCTGTTGCTGTATCGTACATTTCAGCGAGTACTTGTGATTCATCTGTTGCCCTAAGACTTTGTGTAGAAAAATGCATCTTAAAGCTGGCCTGATCCATTTTCATTTTCCCTTACTATCTCACACGAGAGTATTATCTTGATTTTAGTCAGACGGTTGTCTCTTATTATCCGCGAGACTTCTGGTTTAACTTTTTCCATGAACTCTTTCCATCCAAAACCTACCACTCCGCGGCCTGCCCCCTCGGGGCCTGGTCCTCCAGGGCTTGGATCCGAAGGATCTTCGACACTTTCAAGTTGAAAATGCCTTGGAAAACCTTTCAACGCACTTGCTGATTTATGAGCTACAAATTGTGTGCTCTTGTCAGTGACGATTGAAGCTTGGAGTAGATGGTATTGCGGGATTGCAATAACTATCATTATTATTGTGCTTAAAACAGGTATTTAGTAGTGAGCTGACTTTCCTGCCGTATTTGAATGTGGAGAACAAGTAGGAAATACGAACGTAGCGAAATTGAAATGTAGCAAAACTGGATGTTACCTCAATTTCCTTCTCGCACGAAAGGCTTGAAAACGTAAGCTAAATTTACTTTAATAACTCCAACTGTAAGGAAAATCGTCGATCGATAAACCTAAAAGTTTCAGAACATAGCTGATCGACATGTTCCACTCTTTAATTGGGCTGAACACCAACGTGATAACATTCATGAAAACGTAATAGCGTATATAATAACGCATTTTGCCAAATTTCTAGACTAATGTTCTTATCAAAAAGCCAATATAAAAATAACCAAATAAACGAAAACGACTTTTGAGTGTGCAAGAATGGTAAAAACATGATTCCTCATTCATTATTAACAGGATAATAGAAATTCAACATCAATCCCGACAACTCGGACCTTCGCTAACTCGAACCATTTTCGGTTCCCTCAGGAGTTCGAGTCAGCGGGGTTCTAACCTAAAGACACAAAGTAGGGAAAGACGGTTAAGCATGAAGGAGATTAATTACTACATAAGCCATTTTTATCTTTTATTCAACTAAACTGCAGCATAAACTTACACTAAAAATTGAGAATCTAAATCGAAACGGAATTTTATTATTCATTATCTGACCTGATAACCTAAAAAATTGTCCAATTCTCGACCTAAAAGAAAATTTAGAAACCATGTAAAATCATCACCTTTTTTCAAATTTAGCTACCATTGTTTGCTTTACTGACTGAATTTTTCTCAAAACGCTTCTGGCTCTTAAAATTATTTCAATTTTGGGAATATTACCGCCCATTTGGACATTTTGAACCCACTTCAGAGCCCAGCAGTGGGTCCGCCCTCATTTCCTGACTTATCTAGGTAGTAACAGGTACCTGTTGATCTTAGAACCTGGTGAATGACCATTTAAAATTATTGACGAAAATTTATGGAAATCCGCTTCGCTGATATCTTCAACATCTATCGCAATGATAAAAGCTTCCTCTGGTCACCTCTAATGTAGTTTAAACTGCAGTGCTGGGATTTAGTTTTTACTTGGATCAATCAATCAAGCTGATTTGCGGTTTACGATACTTTTGGAGAACCTTTCCGAAAGAAAAAGGTAGTTGTTAAACTTCTTTATTCTCCAACGGGTTTTGTCTAGCTGTCTAGACTTCTTCAGGCGGTTTAACAAGTTAAAAATAAAGGCCTGTATTTACAAACCATAGTCAGCAACTATACGGGGGCCAATGACCATAAAGACTTGGCCGAACATATGAACAGGAACAGGCGAAGTTGTGAAAAATTTGAAAAATTTTTGGGCAAGGTGAGAAAAACCTTTTGAGGGCCACGATTTTAGCTAAAACCGTTGGACGAAATGCGTCGGATAATAAAGAAGTCCTACAACTACTTTTTGCAGAGTGCTGATTTTGCCTTCACTACACGACCGAACACACTCAAAGGTTGAGGCATGGGCGCGTTGGTCAGCGAGGCCCAAGATAGATTTTAATTGTGACAATGAGTTTACAACAAAGTGGATAAGAGATACATCAAGTAACGTCCTACATGCGCCAAAGCCGGACACGTAAACCCCAAAAACCTCTTGTTAGGAAAATAGGGACCGTGTACCCCCGACCAACTGCAGTGGCGCCACCTTTGGGGTTTTAAGGTTGATCTATAAACAATGAAGAGAATGAAGAAAACAAATCATATCAGGCTAATTACACAATAAAAATAAACCTTATGGGAAAGTGCTAGTGGCAAGGCTGACCGTAGAATGCCACAAGTTTCTCAACGGTCTCTTCTTACAAACATACTACCCATGAGCCTTCGCGTACTACGCTCGCACCCAGTTCTCTGTTCCGTGTCGGCAAAATATTAATTTGTGTCAATACCGATTATCACAAATTACATATTTTGCCTTCACTACACAACCGAACACACTCAAAGGTTGAGGCATGGGCGCGTTGGTCAGCTAGGCCCAAGATAGAAAGCTAAAGGTAGGGCTTGAGCTCAGAGAAACAGAGCCTCGGAAACTTCTAGCCTACTAGAAAGAGAATCCTTAACATAAATGTTCTTTGCTGTGACTGAGGCCCAGCGACCATGGCGCTGAAGATTCCTCTCCGAAATGCCAGAGCTGGCAGCTAAAGTAGCTCCACCTGACCTAGCTGAATGAGTGCTATACTTAGAGATATCTGGTACAATATTCGCGAAAGACTTCTTAAAGGACTGCCTATAGGTAGAATAACAAATAGGCTTGTTTACAGAGATAAGGCGCTTGCGATTGCCCGAAGCTGAAATGGCCCTAAAAAGATACTCGTCTGAATTTTCAGGAATCTGGGCCTTATGCATATACAGCTTAAGTAAAGAACAGGGACACGTGATAGATGAGGACTCAGCAATAACGACCGACCTGCCCTCCCTCAGTTGGTCCGTCTTGCTTTTCTCTATGCTGATTGTAATGTAACCCTCGTTAAACTGAACATCTCTGCTACGCATAACGCATAATTCGGAACTTCTAAGAAAACCGGAAAATGCGAGAATGAACATAACTAAATTTCGTAATTGTAAAAGGTCTTCTAGATTAGTCTCTGCAGCAAGGACCTTGAGGTGGTGGGCGTCCAGGGGCTCCTTTCTATTGACTATTGGCTGACTGGCAAGGCGAACAGCTCCTTCCTTTACGGCAATAACAGTAGGGTGTAATGTTGGAGAGTCGACGCCTGCAAGGAGATGTACCCACTTGAACGCGTAAAAGGCGCAGTTGATGGAAGCGACGGACTTGGACGACTCGAGGAGGTGTTGCAAGTAGAGGGCACAATCGATCGGTCTGACTGGAAACTCCGAGGTACCCAAGACATCACTAGCAAAGGGTCTCCACTTGTTAAACGCCCTCAAGTAATTTGCGAATGTCCCAGACGCTCTGGAAGCAAGCACGGTAGATTTGAGATTCTCCATTAGCTGATCCACTCTCGGGGAATTTTGGGCCTCTGAAGACCAGAAAACGGAAGTGAAGATATCTAAGGATAAAAAAAAGAAAAAGGACAAATATTAAGAAAAAGAAAAAAATATCAATGAGACAGGCAGCAATGCACACAATGCTGAATTTACATTTAACTCACTGTCTTCACTCAGGAAGACCACTTTGCCGATCAGGCAATACACTTCTGCATAAAACGATACAAGAGAAAAAACCATGCTATTCTAGTGGACGTAGCCCTCTAGGGCGTTTGCACAATGCCAACAGAAAATACCCCTCTAGGGTACAAAATGAAAATACATATGACAAATCGCCCCTCTAGGGCCTCTCCTGGATGCCTCTCTAAGGCCCAACACGTCTAACTTAGAAAATGATTATCGACAAATAATAAGTACTTCGCGCAAATATAATACGCCTTATCGGTACATAGTGGAAACAGCAGCGAACTCTTGCCCGAATGGAATCAAACCCAAGGAACTAGAAAGCTTTTACGAGATAGCTCGGAATCTAATCTGGGAATGATGCTAAAGTCAAGATGTAGAGCTAACGAAACGAAAGCCAATGGCTTGCTACCAAAAATAGAGTTCTTAGCTTTTCCTCTAATGAACAAATTAGGAAAGTTACGCAGGATAACCCAGTCATGGATAAATGTACTCCAATGGAAACCATCCGAACACAGGATGGGCCAGAAGTGGGCTGACTTCCAAAGGGGAACGATCAGAGTTCCTTGAGCACAGCACAGCTCCATATGCTTAATAACTTTACACGTTAAATACACAGGGGGACACAGCCAGTTATTATGATGAGACCAATCCTGAGAAAACGCATTAACGCCACTCGAACCAGGCTGGTAAAACCTAGAATTAAAGCATTGGACTTTGGCATTGTAGGAACAAGCGAACCTATCGCAGGTATGTGGACCCCATAAGTCGTCAAGAGCACTGAAGACCGTATCGTTGATCGTGTAGTCGTCATAATCAATGAAATTGCTTATATCGTCCGCCGCACTATTTAGGTCTCTTGGGATCCATTGCATATCGATGTTAATAGCACTAAGCAAACAACTACGATGGATATCCATTGCAAGCTCTTGTAATGCTGGAGACTTAGACCCTGAATTAACGATCCGGACAACGTTCTGATTATCCGTAAACCACGTGACTGTTTGGGCTCTCAATGACTCCGCGAAGGCTTTCACTGATAAAGACACGGCTAACAACTCTCTGAATGTAGAACTTTGAGCTTTCTCAAAATCTGACCAGTTTTGATGGAACATCTTCCCCTCAAACTCGATGAAACCGCCGCAAGCTGAGCCAGAAGCATCGGAATAGACGATCTTCGAAGGCTTGTGCCTGACAGACCAAATAGGTATGCCGTTAAGACTTGCCGCATTAGACTTCCAGAAAACCAGCTCAGCCCGAGCTTCAGACGAAAGACGAACGTAAGAGTTCCAGGTTGGCGCGGTATTGATGACTGCGAATAAATTTCTAGACATAAGCCTAGAGACATTACCAACGCAGGGGCCAAGAGATATTATTTTTCCGCAAACAGAGGCAAGCTTCCGAACTGGATGACAGGACGAGGGAATGGCCAAAAGAGTCGCTAAATCTTCTTGTAAACTGGTAATTCGCTTAGCAGTGGCAGAAATTTCAGAAGTGGAAGTGTTGAGAACGGCTCCGAGCCAAGTAATAACCTGAGTGGGCTCCCAAACGCATTTGGTTTCATTAGGAAGAAAGCCAGATTTAAGTAGATCTGCATGTACTTGGAGACTAGCGATTTTTGCCTTATTCTTGTCCGCAGCAGCTCCGAGACCATCGTCCAAATAAACCACGATCGACTTTGCTTCAGATCTCCATTTCTTGACTAAAGGCTTGAGTAGTTTAGTAAATAAATAAGGCGCGGAACAAATCGACGTCCGAAGTGAGTCATTTGGGCTTCTGACCGGTATTAGAAGGAACATCAAACCACAAATTAGGGCAGAAAGCCCTCCAATGCCCGGGTTTGCCACAAGCAAAGCACAAACCAGAAGACGATCTCTGAGACGAAAGCTGCGGGTTTACACGCGAAAACAAATTGGGTAGCTGTGAGGCGGAAAACTGCGGAGTTGTTGAAGTCGATGTAACATTACTTCTTTGCCGGGTCGAGCGAGATGTGAAACGCTTCGTGGACCTAGCTGCTCTGGATTCGGCCCTGTATATCTTTTTCTCATCTTCTTCGTCGTCTGCGAGATCATGGTGCTTGTATTCGAGGACCGTCTTCCACCCGTACTGTGATTTATCAGCCAGTAAAATTAATTTTTGACGCTCTTGAAGCAGCTCCATACCTTTATCCAAGGCTTGTTTGATCTTCTCGACGTCGTTCCTTTCGAGGGCAATCTGGGCGTCTTCAACAGCATCTTTAATAGCTTTGTTAGCTTTGTACTGCTCCTCGTTGCTCTTTTTGTTGAAGTGAGGAACGGAATCGCGTTTCAACCTTTTAATCTCTGACATCTGCTGGGAAGCGATAGATTCGTTAGAACGCTTGAGGTCAGAAATCGAAGTATTTACGAGATCTTTGATCTGAACGATAAGATCTCTGTTGTTTTCAGCGATTACTTTCCTGACGCCTGCTTCGTCCATAACTAGGCAAGGAAAAGTGATGAAGACAAAAAATAAACCTTATGGGAAAGTGCTAGTGGCAAGGCTGACCGTAGAATGCCACAAGTTTCTCAACGTCTCTTCTTACAAACATACTACCCATGAGCCTTCGCATACTACGCTCGCACCCAGTTCTCTCTGTTCCGTGTCGGCAAAATATTAATTTGTGTCAATACCGATTATCACAAATTACATTTTACTAGTTAAGTTAAAAAAAATGTAAAAAAATTATTTAAAAATTAATTTAAAAAATTAATTAAAAATTAATTACAAAATAATTACAAAAATAATTACAAAAATAATTACAAAATTTATTTAAAAAATTTTTAAAAGAATTGCTTATTTTTCCCAATTCAAATGCGTGATTGCTTAAATGAGTTTTTTACGCAAGTGAAATGATTTGATACATCTAAAGCTAATGTCAAAGTCATGCATTAAGAATAAATAGATTGAATAACAGAATTATTTTAAGTCCGTCGCAAACTTTTACAATTTATTGAACACTCGCTTCGAGCTCCAGCACGACTCTTCAGCTTTTCAGTATTGCTGTGATCGCCACATATCACCTCTTGGTAAGTAATCATGGGATTCATAACTCTGCCAATTTTGATTAGTATAGGTAATCACATGAGGCCAAGTACTATTAAGGATTAATTGCACGAGAGTTTTCAAAATTTTCCAAAATTGCCCGAGTCGCGAAGCGACGAGGGCAATTTGGAAAATTTTGAAAACTCAAGTGCAATTAATCCTTAATAGTACGAGGTCTCATGGGATTACTTGTTTATCAATAAAGGGCAAAATTTATACGAAGGAAAATCACGCGCGCAGTCTATTTTTATCTGGGAAGCCTGTTTCCAATAGCCTGTGCTTCGTTTTGTGTTTTTGTTTTCACTTTCGCATTTCAAAAGTTCAATTAATTCGTCGTCCGCTTCAATAAAACGACAAGCCATTGTTGCAACAAAAACTTGATAACAAATTTCAAGATAACGAACGGTTGCTATGCAACGGATTAGCCAATCATTAACAGGTAACCATGCCCTCTCTTGATTACTAAAAATGCCCTCGATTAAGAAAAAAATGCCCTCTCTCTCAACCAATCAGCGCTCAGTAATTTTGCCCTTTATTGATAATACTTATTATAATTGATCTTTAAAGCAGAGTTGGATGGCTTGTTTTGTTCTGGAACTACCTCACTCCCTTTCCATTTTACTGAAAATCTCTGCCACATTTCAAATACATTGCAACGTTTTTGAAATCGTATTTTATAAACTTTTCTTCGTGTACTGGATTTTAAGAAATAACTCCCCTACCCTCAGTTTTTATGTCACACTGATCGCGGTAATTACAAACGGTACTATGTTATATTACATTTCCTTAATTCTTTAATGAAACCTCGTTTCACATCTGTATTAAAAACAAAGAACTTAGCGAGAGTTTCTATGATATCATTCAACGATTTAAATTAACTTGAGACTTCCTTTCCCTCAAAACGAGGAAAGTTTTACAATTGCTCATTCGAACACGTTCCACTATCAGCTAAACCTAGTTTTGGTAAGGTGCAATAAGTATGATTAAATGAGCTTCCGAATCTCCGCTTTAAGGTTGTTCCTATGTTGACTTTGTTTAATCTTTTTATATATTTCCCCTCATTTACAAATTTAGCTATAAAATGATTCAATGACACCCTCAACATTTCTACTAGAGAAAACAAGAATTATCTCAACTCAGACAAGTCGCCACAAATTTTCTAAGCAATAGAAATAATTCTAATGTCACATTTGTCCCTAGCCAAACAGACCGGACAAGTATGTTGGCAAACGATCCACAACGGCGACATCAATCTTTGACTGTGAAAGCCGAAAAAGAGGAACTTTAGAGATGTAGGTTTTGGGCAAGAACGTAAGACGAATTAAGCACTTCCACTAATGAATGGTAACTAAATCAGTCAGCATCAGGGATCTCACTGTAATAGCTAAAACCCAAATAACTTCAGACTTCGAATTCAAAACATACCTAGACACAAATGAATCACTTAATTGTACTGCCCTGTGATTCACTGACTAAATACTCCACGACAGTATCAAAGTAAACGACTGTCTAAGCACTTTACTGAACAGTTCTTCATTCATTTCGGTTCATTTAGATCCTGCATAAGACGACCAGACCACGAAAAATGAAGACAACAACTGTTTGATGTCTGATAATTATCAGTGTTATCTTTTACCGTGTCCTCGAAAAAAAACTCCAATGGTAGATACAAACATTTTTTTTGGGAAATGTATTAGCATTCGTTTCCCGCGTCTTCTAGTCGTTCATGTAATTGTTTCTGCGAAGAAAAAGACACTTCTAGACTTGTTTTTTGGTCGCACAAATTGACTTTTTGTGGCCTGATTGTTGAAAGATTCGTTTTTAAAGAAATGTGTTCTGGTCGTGTTCACGCACTTCCTCTTGACATTCGTTACGGTCGCGGGAGTTGATTATGTGTTGCGTTTTAAATGAAAAAAAAAAAAAGTCGAACTTCGAACTTTTTGCCGTAGTTTATACTCTAAGCACTATGTCTGGTCGTTGTAAAATTCATCTAGTATGACCACGTGGTCTTTAAAAGGAAGTTTGCAATATTCGTTGACTTCTCTCAGTTCACTAAAGAAATTAAACCTACACCAACTAACTTAAGACAAGCTACCAACGCTCTGAGATGACTTTTTACCAGAATAGGCCGATGAAAACGAGCCACCTTAACTAGCTAACGAAAGCTACGATAAAAACCTGGACATAAGAACCAAGGTTTTTTTAAGTTAACCTCCGTACGTTCTTAGACAAATGGTGTTTGTAGTAAAATTAGATTACTTAGGTTTTAAATCAGGTTCCTAATATTTGTTTGAAAAGGGAAGCCTCTATTCTTGGGTGTATGCCAACCTCATATTACCCTGCTTTACATGAGTTAATTAGTCGGATATGTTGCACAGCTATAGATGTGTTGTCTGTACAGTATTGTGGTCTCAACAATAGCAGTGTTATGGGTGGTCTCATAACGCTGCCAGTGTTATGAGACCACAATACTGTTGTTCAATTAAACCGATGAAACTACCTTCTCCCTGCTTTGCAATAATGTAACCGATTATGTGTGATTTTCCTTCAGAGGAATCTCCAAATGGGAGGCTTGGTTCGGCTATGTAGACACAGTGAAATAATGTTGTTTTGCTACTTAATAAGACTAATATTCAAACCTTACTGTACAGGAATCGGCTCCAGAAAGACTGAAAATCAGTGTGCATCTAGAACTAATCCAAACGTACACATACTCAGAAAGCGGCGGTGTTACAAACTGCGGCTAAATATATGTTTTACAAATCTTTGTTCTTCTCTGTTTGTTGCGAGCAAGCCTACATAAAATTCTCCAATTATCAGGGAAATACTGTTACGATGCTTCAGTCTAAATGAAAATATGCGATTTCTTGGACTTGAATTAATTCATCGTTGATGGAGAACGATGAAACCGAACTCCATATGACTCTTTGGTAACTCCCGCCAAGCAAAAAGACCTTTGCTAGCTTGTATATAGCCGCCCCCTATTCTCCAAAAGAAAAGGGGACGACTGTAAACGGGCTCACCAAGAGTTACCAAGTTCAGGGATAAAAACGTAGCCTCGGGGATTCGTCTACATCATTGATATAAACCGTTCATTTGCCTTAATAATTTCAGTTACTTTTTATGAAGAAAAAGCTCTCCTGAACGGATGCTGAAGTATCCGTGAAATGTAAGTGACAGATCATCACTACCCACGGGAGCTTTCCCGCTGAGTTAATAATAAAATAATTAATTTGATGTGCATGGCAACATAACAATCACTGAAATATGAAACAGCAAGATGGCGCTGGAAAGTTGACTGATTTCAATACGATTCATTAGCCAACTTTTTGGCTGGAGATCGTTAATACGAACTTAAAAAGAAAGGAAATGTCAAAATGTCAATCCTCAGTTGAAAATGATTTCAGTCGGTCACGGGAATGTAACTAGAGTTTGCATGGGAATCTAAACAAGGCTCGTGACTTTCGTCGGGAGCTACTACATGAGGAAGGCTTCGAAGAACGAGGCAGAACACAAAAGGATGTAGAGTAATTCAATGAGATAAGAGTAAGTGGCCGTTTGTTTTATTAGTAGTTTTAACTTTAGTCGTAACCAGATACAGCTCTGTCAGAATATGATAATACAGGTAGTTCATCGATTTTAATTTAATACAGTTTTACATTTATTGTTCGCAATGATTCCCACTGGGATGACAGTTCACTGAGATACTAAATTGTGATTCACTCCCTGAGAATAGCTTATCTTTGATGCCGACCACTCACTCAAAATCCAATGACTGAATTAGTGACTTTGAGAAAAAATTGAGAAAGCACTTTGCATCCATTTCTTTTGTTGTGTGACATCAGTCTAATACATGTATACACAACACTGTGTTACTCAAAACCCTGTTAAAACAATTAATCATTGACTATTATTGTTGCAGCGAGCTTATTATCAATATTTCGCAATCAGTTTTCGAAATTTCAAAGTAGCTAAAGAGGCTCATGGTTCTCTTGTTTGAAATCCATGTATCCGTGCACAATTGCATAACAGCAGTATTTCGCCAGGTAGGTTTTATAGTCTAAGTGTATTGCTAACCGTAAGATATACTTGCACCGTATCAATCCGTATCGAAATTGTTATGTTCAAACACGATGCCAAAAGTGTTGAAATTGATGTTGAAGTTTCCAAAGAGCTATTCTGTCGTGATTTTAAAGCAAAATATTAAAATGGCGAGAAATTTCAAATCCTACAGGGCATAAATTTGTTAGGAAACTCTCAGGAGGTCAACGTAATGTCAGAGAGGAATACAGTGCTGTCGTACTGGCGGTGCTCATCGAATCCCAGCGAGCCGGTTCGTTCAGTGATTGCAGCATCAACCGGTTTACTCAAATCATTGACCATTTCAGTATTCAAAATCACTGGTTCTCTCTGAAAGCTGAGTTTCCTGCTCCAAAAAATGGAATGAATTTTTAAGCAACGCAGAGGTTTCTTATGTAAGCGCACATATATTAGTTGCTGTCTCACATAAATTGAGTAGTACTAATCTTGGTCGCATCTGCATTCATCTACGATTTCGTTGCTGAACCATAACTTTTCTGAAAATGTCAGTGCAAATACACTAGGAAAAATTTTGGAAAGGCGTCGAATAAGAATTGGAGCTTGCGGACGTAAACAGTTACACTTCGACAGCAACATAAGTTTATGCCGAATTTTCGTCATCGCTTCACGCGTCTCTCGGATGGAAGTGCTATTTCTCCGAGTGATCACAAAATTTTTATAGTAGTACATTTTCACCGTGATTTGTAGTATTTTTTTAGCCGCTCTAAGTCATGTAAAAAAATGCATAGGCTTGTCCTGTGAACGTTTTCTTGAGGTCGTGTTTGTTATGAAGCAAACTAAACAAATGCAATCAATCTCGTCTTCAGAGTCCCCATTCCTCTGCCCAGCGGTCAAACAGGGAAATGACTCTGATCAACTCCAAGTAGAGGCCATTTCTAGAGGATTTTCCGCAGTTTAAGTTGTGCCAAACCCAGTCTTTACAATAAAGCAATAAATATGAGTAAGAATTCTAATCGTGATAGTCATGAGACCTGCCAGCAAGGCGAATTGATGAAGTTTTTTATTTACTACAAATTTCTTCTTTTTGCGTTATCTGCTTTCTCCAATAACTGGTACTGCTAGTCTCTTATCGCTTGTACTTCTGGTTCAAAAATGTTAATTGGCCCGATTTACGCTCTCTACGGGGAAGTCTTGATGGTGGTGTCGTTAATGTGAGTACATTATTTCTACTAATGACATTTGTACTGTCTTGATCAACACTGAATCCTTAAGTGTCGATTTTTTAGCGCAGCTATTGTTGTCAGGGCTCCCACGTCCAAAACCCAAGGCTATGCACGAAGGGCTAACGAAGGGCTAACGCTTTTAAAACCCCTTACGGTGGCCAATTTACGTTATCAACTCAGTTGATAATACCAAATTACCCTGTTATACTTTCCCACCGACGCATCACCACAGTTTCTTAAGAAACTTACCCCCCTTTATTCTAAGGTCATGAATGTTTCGTGCCTCTTTCCATTTTCAGGGATATAGCTATTTCAAATGCTAACGTAAAAAAAGCCGACAAAAGCGACAAATTGTAAGGGCTTAGAGTTAAAATTCCTCAATAAAGATAGCCAAAACCGATGCCTCTAACTTAAAGCTAAATGTCCGCTCATTCAAACTGCTCAACTTAAAATTGTTCTGATGCAGCATTAGTCTTAACGAGTACCGGATCAGTACAATGTCTTCGTTGATAGTGCTTGACAAGCAGCCTCAATCATTTCAATTTTCTAGACTAAATGCGATGATTTTTTTTTTCTGCAGCTTGCAGAAGGCTCGTTTAATGGCTGACGAAAGTATTGCGAGTTTTTATGGAGGAAATGATTCTACAAAACTTATCAACGAAGATGAGCAAGAAACAAGAGCGCGGAGAGAGGACTCCTTCTACAACGACCAACCGATAGGGACTAAGGATCAGAGAACTTTACTGAGTGGAGATGAAGAAAATAGGGAATCAGTTGAGAATAATGAAAAGGAAAAAGAGGGAAAACCCAGCGATGAATCGAGTCTTTCGATCAGTAACAGCGAAAAGCAATACATTCACTCAGAAGAGAAATCACAGAGACCCACCTCTTTGTCATTCAGTAACGATCATGCAACGGGCCAGAGTCGTCACGGGGCTGTCACGCCAAGTCGGCGGCAGGTGTCATTTATTCGAGAGGCCAATCAAAACGAATCTTGTGACGCAAGCGTTGCCTTTGACAACTCCCAATTATCATCAGACTCTTTGTCACGCGTTCGGGCCATCACGAGCGGTAGCGTGTATTACCGAACGCATAGCGAGGCGGAGGAATGTGATGAAAACGAACTGAGTTGTTATCGAAGTAATTCACAAATACGGCGGAGAAGAAGGTACACCAAACGTGGTGCTGTAGTTTCGGATTCTTTCGTCAATGAATGTATCTGCTGCTGTGTAATTATTTAGAGAGCAGGCCGAAAGAACAGTAGTTACACGTGGCTTCGCACAGACCTGTCCAGTGAGGTCTCGACAAGTTACGCAACGACATCGCCGAGAAAGTTGTCAGTCAAACTCTCAGGAGTGATCAGCATCTATTTTCTCCCTTTAGCATCATTTCTGAATCAAACATTAAGATCATGAGAATAAAGAGCATGATCGCCAACTAAAATAGCTTGATTGTTGAACAAACTTTCCTTATCAACACCAAAGAAATGTAGAAAGAACAGTGTAGAGAATGAATAAGCATGATGGTTTTAGCGGTGTTAAGGTTTAAACAAAAGATTACTATTACGGAGTACAAACTGTAACCTGAGCCAGCCCCTCGTTCAAAGGTTACCCCTGACAACAACTGCCATTTCCCTGAGAGATGGAGCCTGAGATAGGTTCGGTACCAACTGGTTTTTTGTCAAATTCCCTCATCCTGCAAAATTTTGTTAAGAGCTTGCCTCTGATCTCCCTCATTCGGAATTTAAAGGAAGAGGGTGGGGGGGAGGGGGGGGGGGGAGTCGGAAGAGGGGACAGGAGTCAGAGACACGTTAAATTTTACATCCTTTAAGGTAGGCTCGTAATCTCTATCTCCTCCAGTTTTTCGCTAACCTTACAGAAAAGTGTAACTGGAACAGCCCTTTTCTACAGTATAAATCATAAAAAATCACAATTTCCTCGATTGAGATTGGTTTAAAAAATTGTAATTTTTATGATTAATCGGTAAGAAGACTTCGTGTCGTCCAATTTGGTCTGTAATCTACTCGTGATAAACAAATCGGACTCCTACTGCGCGGTCGTCCGACTTTGTTATCAGTCGTATGACTGCAGATGGAATTAGATTCCGGCCACCTAGTCCTGTGACCATTACTGGATGGAAAGAGTCTCCGCTCGAGCTATTTTCAGTATTTCGGATTGTCTGAATCGAGTGGCTCTCGTTGACTGTCGTGAAACCAAAACCAAGTAATCACAACTGTCAGACACAGTCAAGGAATATGGCACAGGGGGCCTGTAGTTCCTGTACTCTTAGGAATGATTTAAAATTCTCTAGAGAGTTTTGATACATTGTCGAAGACGAGTTAAGAAGTTGGTAAATTGTCAGCTGACAGTAGGGTTTTTTATAACAACTGGAGTAACAAAGAAATCTTCTAACACTTAGAAGTCTCCAGTTATGAGAATTAGCATTCAGATGTCGAGACTTAGCATCTCGCTACTGTAGTGAAGTGATAACTGAAGAGAATTTCCTGAATCACTCGAGTATAGACTGCAGCATCTTTTTGGTCTTTACCAGAGTTAGAAACCAGCGAGAGGATGCGCGGTCGTCTGACTTTGTTAACACTCGTTTGATAACAGACCGAATTGGACTTCACTCAGTCCTGTGACCATTACTAAATGGAGCGAGTCACCGATTGAGCTATTTTCGATTCAGTATTTCGGATTGCCTGAATGGGGTAGCTCTTATTGAGTGTCGTGTAATCACAACTGTCAGGCACAGTCGAGGAAAACGGCACAAGGGGCCCGAGAACTAACAATAAAAACAAACGCGCCGCCTTGATGACCAAGATGCCTTTGGTTTTAGCAATGCAGTCGAGTGGTTCATGGTGAGAGTGGCGCGAGTATTCTACAGCAATAACAGTGAGAAGTAAGACAGTCGTGCTATCCTACAATACTAACGACAATCGATTGAAAATTGATCCACTATCGACAATTACAGCGAAGGTATTTACAGTCACAATACAATACACAGCGAAGATACACAGTTCAAAGGGTTCACAAGAATTTATTATCTAAACGCGCCACATACTGAATGCAGCATCCCTCACGTCGATTTAAAATGAAAGTCAAAACAAACCGTAGACTCTTTATTGGTAATATAAATCAAATATTCCGACTATTAAACTCAAATCCGTCAAGGTTTAATTTCAAATTGATACTGTAAAATAAATGATATACAATCTCCTGGCAGAGAATTTTCTTATTATGTACAAGTTTAATTGTAAGATCATTTCTAATTTCAGTTCTCTTCCACCAAAGGAGGACAAAAACTAACGACCATCTTGTATTTCAGAAAATCAACAGTACTGAGAAACTTAAGGAGTAAGTTAAATTTTATTACTTTCGGTTCGTGCACGAGATGGAATGTGTTAGTCGTTGTCTTCATTCGGTGGTATTCTCCCCGCCACAAATAATAATAATATAAACATTCTAGACAAGCTATAAGTCTTTAGCAACAGATTCAAAGGAGAAATGTTGTATCAAAATCCCACGAAAGTTGTGAACATTCTTCGAGTAATTTCAAGTTATGATACAAAGAATAATAAGGCGACTTCTCTGTTATTTCTCAGAGCGCGCGCAATTGTTTCTTCAAAAATAGAGCCAAACCAGCCAGAATTTAGTGTTAAGATTGGCGACAACGTTTATGTTACATATATATTTACATCCCAAACTACACTTTACGCCATCTGCTCAGCGTGGCGGAGATGAGGAAAACGATGAAGGGGAAATACAAGCCCGTTAAGATAAAAATAAAATCATTGCACTTTTCTCTTTCATAAAACTGCTTTACAACTGAGCTGCTGCTCCTGGGGACTGTAAAAATGAAAATCCGTCACTAGCTAAACTACTCTATAAAATAATCGCTCGCTTTTGAATGCTCTCAGCACCAGTCGGCCGTGTAATTGAAATCAGCGAACAATACCTGTAGAAGAAGAGAAAGCCATTACTGTCACATTTGAAAATTAAAATAAATTTTTATAGGGAAACTGGTTTACTCTATTACTCTAGGTCCTGCACAAGGAAAACAATGGAACAAACACGAACGGGTCGACTTCCCCAAGGTAAAGGCAACAGACTTGTTCCTGCAGTTCTTAGGAATGATGTAAAATTCTCCAGGCCATTTAAATACGTTGTCTGAGACAGGAATTAAATAGTTAGTAAATTGTCAGCTAACGGGTTGGGTTTTTTAGCATTTTTTAAATTTTTCTAGCATCAAATTCTAAGGACAGGGTAACAAAGAAATCTTTTAGGTCTTTAAGTCCCCAGTTATGAGAATTAACATTCAGACGTTGAGACCACTTTAGAGAAAGGAGAACCGAAGGAAATTTCCTGACTCTGCGGCATATTTTTTGCCTTCACCCAAGTTGAAAACCAGCAAGAGGATTTTCACCTGCTCTTCACTGTTCAACGGTCTGGCTTCCTTTGGAGGTGTCAAGACAGGTTCTTCTGAGGTAAACTCTTCATCGAAGTTACTCACATCTTCCGCGTGTCTCTACAAAGAAACATCAGAACTTTCATTACGTTTTTTGGCATTACTTAAAATGCTTCAGGCTTTGTAGCGAGGCTTGCTAGGTTATCAACGACTGTAAAACCACACTTAGAACCAATAAATCGTTCCAACTCGCAAACACAGCTCGGAATATTTCCCAAAACGTAAAAAAAGACAATAATTATGATAGAATAAATAAACCCGTAACGGCGAAGGCTTTTTAGGCTACAAATATGGACTCGGTCAAGCTAATATTTCTACATTATTCGAAAAGAAGGATTACGGAAAAATAGTGGAAACAGTCTAAACATTTTCTTGAAGGGTGGAACTAATAGAAGACTCAAACTGAAGTGTGAAACACGACGTATGTTGTAAAAGCGAATGTTTACTAGTTTAGCATACAAAACAAAAACTTACCACACTTGGAACGAACGGTGGTCGAACTTTTCGAGCGAGGAGATCATCCCAGTTCATATCCTAACAACAAGAGACAGAAAGTAATCATTCAATATTATTATTTTCCAATTTAAAGAAACTAAAATGAGATAAAAATCTAGCATTTACACTGAACTTAATAACGGGCCTTCAAGCTCACATGGAATCACTTCAGAGTTTAACCTTTAACCTTCCCAGAAATGTTGACAGGTGCATTTCCATTTGCACTTTGTACCAAGTTTGCTCCCAGTTTGCCAGACAAATAAACAGGAAAGATCATCAGTTACCCTAAAGAATGGCTGTTTCCTGACATCCTCTGCATCTTTTTCACTGGCTCCTAACCGTCTTTCGGGATTGCGCCTCAATAACTAAAGTGGGTTGATAACAAGAAACAAATCAGTGAAACTGAAAGAACCTGATGAAAGAAAACTTGTTCTATTGCAAGCGCAAACACACGATGGACTAGTAAAAAAAATTATCAACTAAGAATCTGCGCTTTCGTCGTAATTTCTTTCTCCAATGGTTAATTACGGATAAAATAACCACTTACTGTACATCTAGACACAGACAATTTCCTGTTTACAGAAAAATTGCCAAGAGAAACACCAAAACAAGGACACTATTAGAGAATATATTAAACAACCAAAAAAGCAAGATGAGCATAGCATTGATATTAAACCAAACTCTAAACATAACAGGATTCAAGTTAGCTAGCAAGAAAAATTAACATTTCACGTTTATTGCTGATAACAGCCCCAAGACTCACCCTTCTCATGATAGCAATGGCTTCTGTTGAAAGGAACCTTGGATATCGAACTTCATCATTAACAATAGAGTCGAAAACTTCTTCTTCATCATCTCCTGGAAACGGTGACTAGAAAAGTAAGGAATGGTAAAGTTTTTAAACAACGTACTCACAAAACCGCTATTATTCGCAAGAGTTGAATCATTTCATTGAGCATTTCCAAAATTCATTAGCTGCAAACCAGTCTTTCACTTTGAAATACTAAGTAAACAAGGTGGAAAATTCCTTCAACGCATTTCCAAACCTCCTAAATTGCCTCTGACTTTATCAATTTGTTCGCGAAGTCAACACTCATTAATACTAGTATTTAGAGTGTCTACTGACCCTTTACTCGCAGTTAAAAAAAGATGCCGGTGAATTATCGCGCCCTTTTCTCGTAACACAAGGATAATGTTGTTTTTATAATGATAACTTACTTCTCCGACCAGCATTTCAAATATGAGCACTCCAAGACCCCACCAGTCCACAGCTCGCGTGTACGAAGTTTCTGTAAGAACCTGAAAGTAGAAAGTGAGTAACAATGTGTTGACTTTCGAACAAATCGAAAGAACATCTGAATTGTTAAACACCAAGCCTGTCCGTCCCCCCCCTCCCCCTCCCCCCCAAAAATGAACAAATGAGAGCAGAACATCTCTAATTCAATCGTGCACTAACCTCAGGGGCTAAAAACTCAGGGGTTCCACAGAAGGTGCCTGTTCTTGCTCCAAAACCCATTCCTTCTTTACATAAACCAAAATCCGCAATCTTGACGTAACCCTCAGAATCCAGTAATAAATTGTCCAGCTTCAAATCCCTAGAATGTGAAGTGCCTCATCTTAAGCACACTGAAACAACTGCGTATAATTACAAAATTACTTAACCCAATAACACATGGTATGGTTATGAGAATTGACCTTTGTGCTATAATAATAATAATAATAATAATAATAATAATAATAATAATAAAAAATAATAACAATTA